CTAATCCCAGTTCTACAGGTCAAGCTAAACCCTAACGGATGGACACTAAAAGTTTCTCCTACTGTTCATGTTACTTATTGCTCATCCATACGGTGGTTATGAAGTACTTCCTGCCTAGCTAATGGGAAAGTGGCATTAGGTATCAGTTGTAAGGCTATTGGCTAGACATGCCAGGGATATAGCATTGAGGCTTGAGAGAGTAACGGGAAGAACCTGGAAGAGTAACTGGCTCAGAAAACACACATAAAAAAAAAGAATTTGTTAGTTGTTTGGAAAGGTTTGGCAGTTTTCACATAACGAAAAGAAAAAATATATCAGTTTAGATAGTGTGATCCAAAGAACGGAAAAATACATTATCTGAGAAAAAAAAAATGAATGGTTACTTTTCTCATTATTGGAGTACCATAAAATTATAGTTGAGTTTCACTATGAATAATTGTTCCTTGATGGTTCTTGTTGAGTAATTTTGCTCAATAAAGGTCTGTCAATACAGTTTGCTCTCAACTGTCAGTTTATACAATATCAAGAATAATGGGCTCACTCAGGTGCACTTGGAAACTGTAATAAGATATTAATTCTTGAGAAAAGAAAACTGATTGCCATCTGATTCAATATTCTGCAGTTATGCTTCAGATTTTTGAGAAGCTTCCTGTAATATGTGAACATATTTTAATGTATGTTAAACAAACTGCCACAGCCAATCAGGCACTAAAGCACTGAGAAGTGTATATCTTGTGTATAAAATACATAGGTGGATTACTGTCACTACCTTTTCCAAAACAGCAATGAGTAAACTGTCTTGTACCACTTTAAAGATTCTGGAAAGAAAAGGCACCTCCATTTATTTCTTCTGCATAAAATAAGTTTTAAGGCTCACAAGTATGGATGTTTAAACAAGCCTAAATTCTTTCCTTATCTGTAAAATAGCCAGATAATTGATTCTCGCAAAATAACTGGTAGGAAATTAACTGATGGTCATAAATCCTTTAAAGTCCCATCAAGGTATTCCACAAAAGCTTCAGAGAGGTGCTCTGTAGATGAAATGTGGGGCTTGGGAAATTTTGATATTTCTTCCACTCTTCTGCTAATGTAATTTGGAAGCTCAATCCAAGCAAGTGAAGGTCCTTCAGAAAAAGGACCTTAAAAGGGAGTTTTCCATAGTATCTCATAGACTGACACATCCTCATTATTTCTGTCATCAGGAAACCTCAGGAAAGCTTGAAGCAGATACTAGTAAAGATATTTGCTTGCTCTCCTTCCTTCTCCAAGGCAGGAGGCTTGACAATCTCTCTGACACCCTTCAAGGATGACAACAGAAGTTTATCACCACTATAAGTTTATCTTCTGCTATACAGCAGGGCTATGCATTTACATAACTAAAATCCTTTCCACACGACTTGCAGCAACAAGTGCTGCAAATTCACAGTAGCTGCATTTCCCCCAAATGTGGAAAAGTTAAAATATGAAGTGAAAGACTGGCAGATTATTTACTTCTTTTTATAATGTGCACATACGTGCGCAACGTGAATGAAGGGGTAAGCTTCCACAACTCATGCCAGTATAAGCATGCTGAGAAGTGATGAGAAGTGCAACTTGTTAAGTGTTTTTAGAATTCTTTTTTAACTTTTGCATGGATGTCACTTGAGAAAAAGTACATATTGCTTATGTGAATCCATCTGTCAGGAGGAATTAGGTTATAGACCTATATTAAACAACTAAGTTCCATGAATTTGCTCTGTTAATGGGTGGTCAAATGAGCAACCAAATAATTTCTGACATATATGACAGCGAAATTGAAGGGGATGCTACTGTCTGAAAAGGAGCTTGTTTCTGCAGAAATCTACCTGTAGGCCTGCTGAAAGCGTTGATTTTAGGGAAACTGCCGTATAACAGTGACAGTCTTTGGAAACAACTTCAAATATAAGCAATAGTCCATTAGCATAGCCATGTTTAGGCTTAAAAAAAGTCTAGAATTGAGGAAATCTATTTTTGCACGAAAATGGTAAGCCTATGCCAGCAACAGAAATCCTTCTTCAGTTGGCCAAATGAGGTGATCGTAAGCGAATCTCTTACATTAGTGAACTTCTAAGGTGTGAAATCAGACATCAAATTACATGAAACTGAACAACAGCTGTCAGTGCAATGTTGAAAAAAAAAAAAGAACATACTGTGTTGAGTATAACTTTGAGGAAAGTAAAAGGAGGAAAACTGAAACTAGCAACTGCCTTGCCTGGCTAGGCTGTCTTCTACATACTTCTCAAGTAGACTTCCAGTTCTGCTTTTGTTTTAGGCTCTAAAATTCCTGTGGGGAAAATACTTTGTATATTTTGCAGAAAACACATAAAAGCATTTTCACTTTGACTATAGAATAAATTATTTTCAAGTGAATTATTTTCAAGCTGATTATTTTCAAGTGAATCTGTCACTTAGCTTGAGTTAAAGGTTTCAGTAAATAAAAAACATCTCATTATCTTTGTTCCCAATGACCCTAACAGCAGAATAATGCAGGCATTTTAAGCCTTCTGCATAGTTAGATTCACTGAAACCTTACACGTAAACCATATGTGGGGCAATTATGCTATAACTCAGTAAAGTTATTAAATGTTAAGTGCTTCTGCTAGGCTTATTAAAACCACTGTCACATACATGTCCAACATCTCTGGTAACTAACAGATGGCCACTGTGCTATCAGAGGTGGGAATCCAGCCCTCTTCCTCCAGTGTGGACACACAGTCAGTGACTCTCCCACTTTTAATTACTCAGAGGCACGGGAATCATCATGAATCCAATGGGCAGACGATTTTGCCTACCTATTGCTGCCCCTCTAACAGGTAGAGGTGGCTTAAGAACAATCAGAGTATTTTTCCTTTTTGTTTCTTGGTAAGGCAATATTCAGAACAGTAATTCAGGTGTTTAGTGTAGAGCTTTTAGACAGGGATGAACAAAGTGTATATTCTTTCTTGGTCTGTATTAACCACTAACGATTCAAGGATGAACTTATTTTTCCCATTGAATTATGGAGAGTAGGCGATTCAAGTCTGATTCTCTCATATTTCAGATCAAAGTTCGCCTCAATAAAAACAGACTGTTTTTCTGCAAAGAAATACAGTAAATATGCTGTGGTTGGCTCACATGCATAGCAAAGGTGGTGTTAGTAATTTATAAAGTTATCATGAAATAAAAATCACATCCTCTTGTCATCTCTGCAACAAAGACAGGCAATTAAGATGTAAGATTATGCTTAATGTAAATTCAAATATGTTAAAGGAAAAAATAACCATTTAAATAGCAGAACTACAGATAAGACTGTTAGAGTTTTTTTGTTAAAAGCAATTTTTTACTCTACTTGTGTATTTTAATACTACCTTCCCATTCACAGGAAGCATTTTCCAAGGGATCATGTCTTATTTGCTGAATTTATTACAGTTACTACCCGACAATTTCAACTACCTGACAATCCCTATTTTCCAGAATATAGGAAATTTCTGGGGTGTTGCAGCTGGGATGCATTTTCTTTAACCTTGTCACTACTAATCTTTAACACTTACGTCCATTATCTTGCTAGGGTATACATTCACATACTGTAGCTGCATTTCCATTTTCCCATATTTTTCATATTTCACCAGATTGGATCACAATTCTTGGTAAACAATACACACTAAAATAGAATGAAATTCTGAGCCTATTTTCTTAAAAAAAAGAAAAAAGAAATTCTAAAGAGTCATGATCTCAGCCTCCAAAGCCATGACACAAGCTTTACAAACATGGAGAAAGGAAGTCCAGAGGATCTTTTAAACAAACAAAATAACCAGTAGTCAGGTAGGCTGGATGACAGTTCACAGGAACAGTTAAGCCATTTCTAATCTAACCAAAGCAGTGGTGAGCAAACACAGTGATGTGCTATGTATAACACCACAGTCAAAATTTAATGGGCCCTGCAGCATTTATTCTTCCACAGAGCTTTTTGGCAAGAGATGCCAATCTCATGGTGATGCTGACTGCCAAAACAGCCTAGTGTTTAATTAAACACGCTGAGATACCCCAAGGAGAGAAAATATGGAGCAAGTTTTACAGACTGTTGACAAAAGACACAGAATAAAACATCAAAAGTCTTTAGAAATATGAAGTCAAATTAGGAAAGTAAAGAGTAGTATTACTTCTGCAATAAAGAGTAAGAGTCAATTAATGAAGCCCATAATTACCACAATGGATAAAATAAGGCATAGAGAAGCTTCTCATTTGGAAGTCGGTTCTTGTTGCAGAACAAAACAATAACATCACATCATTTTTTCTTCCAGATCATTGTAAGAGATTTTTTCTTCTTTAAGAAAAACTGTAATTAACATGATAGAATTTTCTAAAAGGATCTAAGTATGTCATCAGCCTGTGTAGAAATTGATTCTACATAGAAATTTGTAGTTGGGTAAGGAACAGAATTGAACACTGAGTAAAACTAAAAAGTATTTAAAAAAATAAGGTCAAAATCATTTTTAGGAGAAAGAAATTGCAGCAATGGAGCATAAAGTATTCAATCACTTCAGTGACCTTTGCCTTTCCGAATTTGTTTTGCTTCAATATTTTAATAAGAAAATGAACTTTTTTTAGAGAAAAATCAATCTACATTTGGAGTCACAGAAAAACTGTGATTTCATAGAGGCTTCTTGAAGACAGTCATCACTGGTGCACATAGGCATGCTCCATGAAGTGTTTGATTACAGGATACCATGCCTCATCTTTCACAATTTTACTCGATCACTTAACTATGGATTTCTTTCCCTCACACTTTCTTTTATACATGAATTCAGGAAAAAAAATATATAGATTTTAAAGAATAATTTCTCTTCTCTTTTCCCATTACTTTCAGCTTGACTTCTCTACCGAAAGAGACATTTGATCCCTCTGTTCATCCTGTACCAGATTTTATTTCTCAGAATGTGTGGAGAGATGAGGCAAAGGATGAGGGGGAAAACTGATGTAGGGGAATAGGCTTGAATACCTACCAGAAGAAATGCTGGGGGGTAAAGATCCACCCCCTGCCACTGGATGTGAGGTCAGGATGCTATTTAAAAATCCCGCCCTCAGGAATCGCGAAAGAGACTTCACCCCAATGGTCGGAAAGGATCCTTTCAAAGAGATAAAAATGATTGTTAATTAAAGAAATTGTTCCTCGGCTGAAAAGAAAATGCCTGTTTAAAGAAAGAATAACCATATGTCTGTGATGTTAACAGTGGTTCCACTGAAACAGATCTTATAAAAGCTTTTTACCATGTCACACAACATGCACCTTTAACCATAAAGAGAGCTTTTTCTGTGCACTTTGCAAATGGAGAATTCCAGAACTTCTGGGAGGAATGGAAAAATATGCCATTATAAATACAAAATCTAGCTCTTGGATATTCATAATGTATTCCAAATGAGTCTGTCAAGTATGAAAGCGTTTCACAGTTTTGCATACAAATCAGAGAGAGACTATTACAGACGATACTGTGCTAGCAAAGTTGTGCTAGTGTCTCAACGTCCCCTGACAACCCACCTGGCAAGAGTTATGTTAGGCAAGGGCAGAATGGGAGCCAGAGCTTGCAGTTACATTGGAACTCTTGGTGTCAGGACAGTGATGTCAGAGCTTCTATCACGTCTCCATACACCTGTCAATATATTGACGAAGGCAAAACCCAGGAGTGCAGGCATGGCCTCTTTCTGCTTTGCCATCACCAGAGGTGTTGTATGTTTTACACTTTCAGTAAAAAAGTCAATGTGCATGTCAGCCCCTAAGTGAAAAATTTTATTCCAGGAAACAAAGATTATCACATCTTTCCCCTTTAAAATAAAAACTTGTGATGTATCTTTGATAGCAATGATAAATGAGGACTCCCTTTCATTTGCTTCACTGATTCAGCTTCAAGCATCTGGATAGAGACCGCGACACATCATTACAGCTCATGCATAGCGAATGGCAGTATCAAAGCTGGATCTGAAACGAGAGCTTTATACATCCTGCTTAAAAATACAGAGTCAAGACTCTCCAACCTTGAAATAAATTTAAATTGAACAATCAGAATAATTTGTTTATATTGCACGTACATCAAGCAAGCATTCATCCAGTAATTTAAGCAATGGCAAGTTTGTTTTAATCATTTTAGAGGTACTTCACAGTTGTTCCTCCAAGAGACAAAAAGCATCTTAGTTATCTACATATAATTAGAAAAATAAATAGCCCTCTTAAAGTTTATGCAGCTGCAGATTTTCATAGAATCATAGAATCATAGAATGTCCAAGGTTGGAAGGGACCTCAGAGGTCATCCAGTCCAACCCCCCTGCTCACGCAGGGTCACCTAGAGCACGTGGCACAGATTCACATCCAAGCGGGTTTTAAAGATCTCCAAAGAAGGAGACTCCACAACCTCTCTGGGCAGCCTGTGCCAGTGCTTTGTCACTCTCACAGTGAAGAAATGCTTCCTTAAGTTCCTGTGGAACTTCCGATGCTTCAGTTTGAAGCCATTTCCTCTAGTCCTATCACTGTCCACCACTGAAAAGAGGCTGCCCCCCTCCTCCTCACTGCCTCCCTTGAGGTATTTATAGACATTGATCAGGTCCCCCCTCAGCCTCCTCTTCTCCAGGCTGAACAGACCCAGCTCTCTCAGCCTTTGCTCATAGGGCAGATGTTCCAGGCCTCTGATCATCCTGGTAGCCCTGCGCTGGACTCTCTCCAGCAGCTCCACATCCCTCTCGTCCTGGGGAGCCCAGAACTGGACACAGTCTCCAGATGTGGCCTCACCAGGGCTGAGTAGAGGGGGATGATCACTTCCCTAGACCTGCTGGAGACGCTTTTCTTAATGCACCCCAGGATCCCGTTGGCCTTCTTGGCCACCAGGGCACACTGCTGCCTCATGGTCAACTTGTCGTCCACCATGACACCCAGGTCCCTCTCTGCGGGGCTGCTCTCCAGCAGGTCCACCCCTAATCTGTACTGGTGTCCGGGGTTATTCCTCCCCATGTGCAGGACCCTGCACTTGCCCTTGTTGAACCTCATGAGGTTTCTCACTGCCCAGTTGTCCAGTCTGTCCAGGTCCCTCTGGATGGCAGCACAGCCCTCAGGGCTATCAGCCACTCCACCCAGTTTGGTATCGTTGGCAAACTTGCTGAGGGAGCACTCCAGCCCTTCATCCAGGTCGTTAATGAATAAGTGGAACAGGACCGGACCGAGAACTGACCCCTGGGGGACACCACTAAGTACAGGCCTCCAGCTGGACTCCGCACCATTGACAACCACTCTCTGCACCCTGCCATCGAGCCAATTCCTAATCCACCTCCCCGTCCACTCATCTATCCAACACCTTTGGAGCTTGCCCGGGAGGATGCTGTGAGGGACAGTGTCAAAAGCCTTGCTCAAAGGCGAAACTAATAAAAACTAATTTTGAAACTAATAGAAATGTAGTGAAGAAAATCTAGTGTCAAAACACATTTTTTTGAGGTTAAACTAGTCTTAGGGAGATGTGGAGTTTTATCTTTTTTTTTTTTTTAAGCAAGAGAACTATCATTTTTCTTCTATAGTTTCCTCATTTGTGCATATATATAACCAAATATCCCCCCTGCCTATTCCAGAAAAGCCTAGCTTTGGCAGCCTTTTCAAGTGTTTCTAAACTCCATAGCCTTCATTTTGAAATATTTTTAGAGGTTATCATGCATAGAGAGTCCAGAACGCAATATACAGAAATTTAATTTTAAAATGGAAAGTTGTTCCATAAACTCCAAGATGTTTGATACTAAACAGCATCTTAAAACAAGAAGGCTAAATAGTGAATATATCAAGACTTTCCAAATAGAAGTTTACCGCTCTGTTTCAAAATATGAATTATTCCAACCATAAAATACACCCACTGTGAGTCACATACCATATGTACAGATCCTTAGAAAAGCCAAACAGCTTGAGCTTCACCACTGACATTTTCCTACACTTTAAAGGAGTTAAATGGCAGTTAACTCAAGTTTCCTACTGCTGTTTGAAGAAGTTACTTTGCTAAAGAAAGCAATATAGACAAAAACAAGTGGATGCCACTTATTGTACATATCTGAAGTAAAAACAAGGAGCAGCAAATTTTGGAGCAGTGAAATCTTTCTTTGGATTTTAAGAAGGGAGTTAGAGATCTAAAATTCTTTAAGCATTCCAAGTGACAAATAAGTAAAAGAATAGAAGAAATCCCTCTCATGCACACATTAAATAAAGGGTTGGCCTCAATTGCTTCAACACAAATGCACTGTGGCACTTGGGACACTATAGTAAATCGGAGACATTCACATTTGACTGGCAGACATTATAAGCTACAGGAGACTCTTGTACTCCTCAAGAGTGACAGCAAGAGGCAAAACAATGGGTATCTAATAGGCATCTAGTGCCATCTTAGGCACTGAATCCCATCCAAAAAGTCTACTGCCCTGTCAAATAATACCCGTGATGAGGTAGAATACACAGTTACAAAAACAAGACCTTGTATAGTCTGGTCTAGAAGTCTAAAAATGAACTTCTGAAAAGGACAAGAAATACAGCATATGCCCCAGAATGAGGAAATGGCATGTGGCTGGGGAGAAGCGTCCACAGTTATTGTGTTAATATCTGTCACACAGTGTGGGCTGGCTTTGAGACTCTACTACATCAACATCTACGTGGAGGTCGACTACCACTGCACATACCTGGGAGAGAAAACTAACTCCCATAAAGCCCATCAATCACCGTCAGAAAGAGAGAGGTCTGATACGAACTTTGTGTATTTACAATTACAGAGAATCTTTATTCAGATTTTTACTTGTTTACATAAACATTTGAGGGAAAAACTGCAACAAAAATGTATTCAAGAAGAAGAACCAGAAAAAGGTATCTGCTAATACAAAGGAGGAACCAAAAGGGAGGTGGCAGGATGGTACTAAAAGAGAAATCACCATCTTCTAGGAAAAACTTGCATATATATATCAATAAAAAGAATCACATCTCCCTCCACCTGAATGTGTTAATTAGTATCAGACAACAAAGATGTAGCCTTTCCTCCTGTTTTCAAAATTGAACTTATCCTTAGCTAAAGATAAAAGTCCCTAAAAATTCTGTGTAGGCTCCTCCTGAACGGCACTCCAATCCAATCAGCAAAAGCAATATTTATTTCTTAGAAATAGATAGATCTCTAGATATACTAGATACAAAAATTTTAATGATTAAATGAAATATTCTTCTAAAAGCAACCACAATGGATGCTTCTTTTTCAAAACACCAGTACAAAACACCACAGTATTTCTTTAGTTAAGCAGCTTTCTTCTAAAATGTAATTCTGACAGCATGCATCAGAGAGACTTGTGCTTTATACTAGTTCTGTTTTTTGCTATAAAAGTTAACACGCGTTATTTTTGTGGGTGGTTACATTAATGGAAAGAGCATGATAATAAGGCCTTACCACTTTTAAACCAGGAAAAACAGACATGGATAACAAGCCATGATCTCGGGGTGCACTGAATACAGCTGCTATTTATCACCAGCAGGCGTGACTTTATAGCCCTCTCCCCCCCCATACACATGCACATTTATACCCTCTAGCATTATGCTGCAGTAACGTGGGAAACAGATATTAGCTGGGAAAGTGCATTGAATAGTGCAAATCTGTGGCTGCTTTCCGAGCAGCTGGCAGCTCATGAAGGATATATATCACGCACTGAGCTGGGCGATGGTTGACAGCTCCACATGCATTCATCTCTTTCACACTCCTTGCAGCTAAGTGCTGTGCTCACAGGTAGTGGAGGAGTGCTGAATCAATTAGCCTGCCCCGTGCCTCCCTCTCTTGTTCCAAAGGGAATATCATCCTGCGGATAATAGACGTTGATAGGGAAAACAGAGGTATACCATACCTGGGATGGTTTTAGTAGCATATTTTCCCCACAGTGTAGAAAGGCGAGCGTAGATAGCTGGTTAAAGGAAATATAGAGCAGGAGAACCTATGTGCTTTGTTCAGCTCCAGATCACACGCACAGCATTTATTAACAGCTGTCTCACCAGAGCATGGCCAGGCCAAAGGCAGAGCGACTTCTCCTCACAGCAAAGGCACAGCCCGTGGCCGAGGGCTACCAACAAGATAACATGCTAAAG